CATTGTGTAGCTTTATGCTTAACAAAAACCGTATTAAATCAAAATTATAAAAGCCTCTTGGTGGCTCAGCTGTAAGTCTGAGAGTTTATAACGCTAAAAATCGAGTTTCGATACCGGTAGGTAAAGTACAGATAGCCTATTTGTATTGTGTAGCTTTGTGCTTAAGAACAACACAAAAAGACAAGCTTTATAAATATATATATATATATTATATATATCTATCCTGTTTGTCCTTACACGATGTTTTATATCGCCGCTGCTCTAGTTTCCCTTCCCATAAAGGAGATGCTTAATAATAACAGTTAAAGTATCAGATCAAAGTGTGTGTGTGACTTAGAAATAGCACTCCAACCCTCCAGCAGTGCAGGGACCGGGACTGCTGGAACATTTTTAGGATCGTAATTACCAGACTCTGCACCAGGCGTCACTCCACTTATCGCGCCTGGTGTATTTCTTCATTAGGCTCCTGTGAAACATAGTACAACAAGCACTCAAAGCAGAGAAGCAGTGTAGGACTAGGACTTACTCTCCGTGATGTATGGGAGTTGGTAAACCTTTTCTTTGAGAATAACATCTTCAGGAGAAGGACTCAACAAGCCTAGAGCAAACCCCAGTCTTTTAGACTAAAACACGTGAGATAGCAGCGGAAGGAAGAAGGTAACTCGTTGTCAAAGAGTCCTTACTGAGAGGGTTAAACAAAAATGATAAACCTTTGAAGAGGAGAACACTACTAGATGAATAGGTAAACGGTTCGTAAGACTTGTAAGCACCCAAATCTGTGATAAAACATCAATTTAGTTTACTATATTTTTTAATATAGTGAAGACTGGATATTTAGTGTCAGTACAGTAAGTAGTCGTTGGTTATAACTGATATTGATATGATAAAATACGATTATCGAATAAGTTAGTATTTAAGTAAATCGACCTATATTTAGTTATAATATAAATTAAACGCAGTGAAGTAACAATTTTTACTGAACAAAAAAATCAGTAAAATATATATAAATATAAAATATATATAAATATCTATATAAATATAATAGTACTGTCTGTTGTATGTCCATGTAACTACTTCACAGGGTATGGATGGAGATTCATTAGGTCCATGGGGAGATGCACACAAATTTTCAGTTTTACATTTTGGGGTTTTATGCGCGTTTTTGCGTGTTTTTTTTTTACCCCTACTTCACCCCCTCTGAATGAATGTTCACCAAATGTGGCATGAAGGTTTGTTGGGTCCATGCGGAGATACGTGCAAATTTGCGGTTCCCAATTTGTGTTTTGCAGTTTTTATGGGAGTTTTTGCATTTTTTTTTACAATTATATATAAAGGAAGCAACTTTTCATGTTCTAAGATAACCTTACATAACTTCCATACTCCAGCTAGTATATAAATATGATGCTACGTCCTGCCAAAGGCACTTGTCTTTAGCAAAAGCTGATAACATTTTCTGTATAATGATTTTGGGAGAAGATACCATTTTTTGTCTGATGATTTTGGGAGTAGATAAATTTTTTTTGTCTAATGATTTTGGGAGTAGATAAAATTTTTTTGTCTAATGATTTTGGGAGTAGATAAAAATATTTGTCTAATGATTTTGGAAGTATATAACATTTTTTGTCTAATGAATTGGGGAGTAGATAATATTTTTGTCTGATGATTTTGGGAATAGATAAAAATATTTGTCTAATGATTTTGGAAGTATATAACATTTTTTGTCTAATGATTTTGGGAGTATATAACATTTTTTGTCTAATGAATTTGGGAGTAGATAACATTTTTTGTCTAATGAATTTGGGAGTAGATAAAATTTTTGTCTGATGATTAATAGATAACACTTTTTGTCTAATGATTTTGGGAGTATGTGAAGGAAATAATTCTTCACTAAAAATTACGATCTAAAATATCACCAAAAACACAGTTTTCAAAACAGATTAATAATGAAACTTTTTTTTCCTATTTTCTTATTTCTTTAAATGCTGATTTAACTTTGAATATTTGCTATATGTTTCTTGAAATAATCTCGTGGTTTTGGTTTTATAAGTTTCTTTATTGTTTTATCATTGTTATTAGTTTGTTCTAAACAGAAGTCCAATTTAAGGTAACTGTTTTATTTCTTTAGCATGGTTAACATTTTTCTGAGAAAATGAAGATTGTTGGTTTAGTTTATATCCGTTGTTTGACGAGATTTCTTGGATAAATTTAACTTACTAAAACCTGCCTAAGGTTTAATTGAAAATAAAATATCCAAATATAACCAAATATTGTAATATTATATCTATAATCAACTTTGGGATAACATTACTTACAATAAGTTTACCACTTAATGAATCTTTTGAGGCCAGTCTATGAAATATTGGTTTAGAATTGGTCAAGTGCTTGATGACATCTCTTTAAAACTGTCTCAACTTTAACCAAGCTGATGAACAATACTAATTGAACTATATACCTTGCTTTCACAATGCCCCCAAGTGGCATAACGGTATGTCTGCGGATTTACAACACTAGAAACCTAGTTTCGATACCCGTGGTAGGAAGAACACAGGTAGCCCATTGTGTAGCTTTGTGCTTAAACTACAAACAAATTGAACGATCGTTTCCCCGTCACAACATTAAATTTATTGCAAACATTTGTTCATTTTTTACCTGTTAATTATATATATGATGAAATTATGCTAAATACTAATCTAAGACTGACAAATTTCCGATATAATAGCATTTGAAACATTAGAGTCACCTGACGCCACTGAAGTTATATTCAGGATTTAATAAGTTAACAGACATCTATATACTACTAAAACTCTGAGATTGTTTGTTCGTTGGCTTGTCTGTAATTAAATACAGCAAAAACTGTGCACAATACCGCCATATTGGTAATGAAATGAGAATAGAAATGGGAATAGAAACAGAATAGACCAAGTTTTGTTAAAATCGGGCCACGGTTTGCCGAGTTAGCGCCGTTTTTCAG